GCGATAACACCATCGTGTGCTTGTTGACGCAACGTCTGGTACTATGCAGAATGTCATGACAGTGCAGGAAAGCAACGCTGCTCTTCTTGTCAGGCATCGATGCTGCTAATACAAGGAAATTTATGGCGATGAAGACTGAACACAAGCCGCTGGAGAGACGCCGCCTGAAGAAACGCGCGAAAACGTTGGCAACGCCTTGGAAGAAACATCGAAAGCCGAGAACCCGGTCCTACAACCCTCTCAAATATTGGACTGTTCTGTGACGTAATGTGTGGTCGGCTATTAAGAAAGAACCAGCGCCTATTTTTTTTTTTTACATGTAAACTTTCAGAAGGCAGTAATTTAGCTTATCGAATCTAATGCGTTTGTTACTTTACATTAATACATGTGTACGGAGCCGCGTTAGTGCAGTCGATAGGAGACTTGCTTTGAAATCCAGCTGCGCCTCGCTGCAGCCCATGGCCGGTGTTCGAAACCTGGCGGTTCCCGGGGTACACTTAGCCTCTAGGTAATAGGTACCAGAGTGACACTCTGGGGTAAATGGAGGAACGTCGCTGTAGCTACAGAGTTGCATGCGGAGGGCGACACAGGCGGACAGTTTCTTATAAGTTGTCAGGACTGGCGGCAGAGCACTTATGGTTTTTAACCGTGTTCAGTGACGCTGGTTCACATCTCCCGACTTTACCTTTATGTGTGAGTCTAAAGAAGCTCAAATCAAATTACGGAATGAGTGGCTATATAGTTAATAAGGTGTCTGAGAGGACCTGAATTAGGACCAATTTCATAAAAGGAAAAGTCGGTACAGAACCGGTTCTAAATTTCATACACAGACAGGAAATAAAATGAGAAACTCTACAACAGCACGCGATGTCTATGGTCAAGGCGGCAAGAAGAGCAAGAAGCGAAACCTTGTATCTTCCTCGATAAAAGAGGGGGTGAAGAAGATGAAGTAGAAGAAGAAGAAGAAGAAGAAGAGGTAGTTAAGGTAACAATTATGATTAACGATTAGGGTGACTGTCAACGGCTTGTGTGGCTGTGGTGATGATAGTGAATGACGGACTAGCACTTAGATGACCGCTCAGTGACCAAGCGTTGAATAGACCACAGGAGTTACCAGCGATGACAACGTGACGGACAAGTGAAGACTCCAAGAATCACAAGGGAATTGACTGACCGCTAGGTGAACAGGGGATCAGACACAACGGAGAGAGCAAAGGGTTTTTCGGAGAGCTGGTTCAGTCAGAGACCTGGTCTGTGACGAAGACGTATTTTTGACGGCCAGAGTTTGCGTTCAGACACTTAATGACGGTTTAGGAAATGTTTAGTGTTAGTTTTGACGGTGATATAACTTAAAGTATGATTACGAATAGGTAGTTTAGCTTGGTGTTTTATATAGTTCAGTGTGGTGAGTATTAGTTGGTTAAAGTACTGTTCACCCAATTACTAAATGTTGAATGTACTGTTCAACATTCACTCAACAGTAATCTGTATATTAGCGAGATGGTTAGAAAAAGGGGTTTTGTCAGAGTAAGAACAAGAGTATGATAGTGTTGTGGGCATTGCATTCAGGCAATTTAGTGCAGTGACATGGTCCAGAGCCGTGCAGAGCCACTGCAGTTGAGGCGTAAGTTACCAGGGCTCGGGAAAGATTGTTTAATTAACTTACGAACAGATCATGCACTTATAGTTAAATCTGTAGACATTATTCGATCTCACATTGTTGGATACTTTATGTGACTTAAATGTGTTGATGAACATTTTTCTTGTAGCATTTATGAGTGTGTTCAAGTGCAGTTCAAAAGAATAGTGTTTCGTTTATTTCTTGGCGGCGACACTGGTTCGGATTTTAAAAGCATTGAGGAGCGAATAATTAACTCTTTCAAACCCAGTGACATAGAAAGAAAAAAAAACAAGGAAGAAATCGAATTTCTTTCGGGCAGAGAGTAACGAGAGCTGGTGTGAAATCGAGTTATTTTCAGGCAGACAGTGATGAGAGCTGGTGGGAAATCGAGTTTCTTTCGGGCAGAGAGTGATGAGAGCTGGTGGGAAATCGAGGTTCTTTCAGGTAGACAGTGATGAGAGCTGGTGGGAAATCGAGGTTCTTTCAGGTAAACAGTGATGAGAGCTGGTGGGAAATCGGGTTTCTTTCAGACAGACAGTGATGAGAGCTGACGATAAATCGAGTTTCTTTCGGGCAGACAGTGATAAGAGCTGGGGATAAATCGAATTTCTTTCGGGCAGACAGTGATGAGAGCTGGCGATAAATCGAGTTTCTTTCGGGCAGAGAGTGATGAGAGCTGGTGGGAAATCGAGTTTCTTTCAGGCAGACAGTGATGAGAGCTGACGATAAATCGAGTTTCTTTTGGGTAGACAGTGATGAGAGGTGGCAATAAATCGAATTTCTTTCGGGCAGAGAGTGATGAGAGCTGACGATAAATCGAGTTTCTTTTGGGTAGACAATGATGAGAGGTGGCAATAAATCGAATTTCTTTCGGGCAGAGAGTGATGAGAGCAGGCGGGAAATCAAGTTTCTTTCGGGCAGACAGTGATGAGAGCTGGCGAGAGACATATTTTTTTCCCTTTTCTTCCAGGCAGACAGTGATGAGAGTTGGCAAGAGACATATTTTTTCCTTTTCTTCCAGGCAGACAGTGATGAGAGTTGGCAAGAGACATATTTTTTCCCCTTTCTTCCAGGCAGACAGTGATGAGAGTTGGCAAAAGACATATTTTTTTCCCTTTCTTCCAGGCAGACAGTGATGAGAGTTGGCAAGTGACATTTTTTTTAGGGTAGATAGTAATTAGAGCTGGCAAGACAAGAGCAAACAAGACAAGCTCACGCTATAAAAATCGGTAACAAGAGATTTCAGGACTTTTGTCTCATCCCATGTATTTAGGTGCTTTCTTCTCAGATGTCCAGCTCTGAAACTGTCTGCAGTAATGTTCTCCTTAGATCTTCTTCCCGTCCTAAACGCCGCCCCTCCCCTTTTCCCCCGCTTCAAAAAACACTGGCACACAGGCGCACACACACACACACAACACAGCCCCTGGCATTTTATTCTTATAAAAAAACCACTTTATTGACTGTAACATTCATGTGCCGCTTGCACATATCTTTAACTCTTTCTGTCCCAAACAACTCACCAAGTGTGCTCAGATTATGTCTACATGTATTAACGCAAGCAGATGGTGTGTTATTATTTTTGTTATGTTTGTTCTGAGTATGCAAAAGAAATCTGGCCAAATATTTTTAATGCAGCAAAGTATATGTTGTATCTTCAAAAGTCATCCACTGCTGCCTTTTTCACTGTGATTTTGTGTGTGCCAAATTGGGTTTCTACCTTGAAATCACCTGGGACTGAAAGAGTTAAACTGTAATTCGATATCTTCTGTATATCTATAGTTCAACAAACAGAATGTCCATAAGGGTTTCCTCCGCCCTCCATGTTTTTCCTTGCCATCTAAGCCTTTCAATTCCATCTACTGGTTCTGAAACCACATGCCCCCCCCCACCCCAATTTTTTAAACATGCATATTGTAAAAGGCGACTAATTAAGGCTTTGCTAAAATGGGACTTGTTGGGACAAAGGGCACATGTTTTGCAGTCTCGATATAATCCACAACACAAGCATCCAAATCCCGTTTTAAGAGCTAAAGCTTAAGAAGAAGAATCATTGACAAAACTGGTGTCTTGTTTGCTCTTCCCAATACTTCCGTGACCTTGCCATGCCATCTAATGCCTTGTATTCTTCGTTGGCATCGCATGTGAAAACTATTTAGCTCTTTAGTGCAAAACTGGTAGCTATGATTGAATTAGTATTACTGCGGAAGTTGCTCCAACGTTTACTATTACTGCAAACGATGCAACTACTACTGCTGCTGTAATTGCAACAACTACTACTACTACTACTATTATTATAACAAAGAGTACTAATACTATTATTACAAAAACAACAAAACAACATATACTACTACTATTACTGCTGCTGCTGCTATCAAATGTACTATCAAAAATACTACTACTACTACTACTACTACTACTACTACTACTACTACTACTACTACTACTACTACTACTACTACTACTACTACTACTACTACTTTGGTACCGTCGTTGTCAAGGTGCCTTGTATTTACTTGGAATCCTGAATAGATAACCCGCTAACTAAAGGTCCCATTGTGCAGCTGTGTTGTTCAAAATGGCAAACCGTGTGCAACTACATATCGTCAGACAATGGTGAATAAATCTGTAGTTGCTAATTATTGCTCTTGAAAAAAAAAAAAAAAAATAAGTAGCAGGTCTCAGAGAATTCGGTTCGTTAACTCCCCGGTGGTTTTACCTTCAGCTCATTTTTATCCCAGTGGTTTTGCATTGTGCTAATCCTTGAGTCTCATTACCTCGCAATAAATCAACGTGATACAAATATGGGCAGAGACAAACACACACAACACACACACAGATGTGGACGGACGGACGGATGGACAGACAGACAGGTAGGTAGGTAGGTTGGCAGACAGGCAGACAGACAGACAGATAGGTAGGTAGGTTGGTAGACAGGCAGACAGACAGACAGGCAGATAGACAGTACAATTAAAATAAAATGGGTCACAGTAAAAGAATAAAGAGACATCAAGAGTTAGGAAAAGTCTACCGTGAATCCATTAACGCATAATGGATTACTTAAAAAAGTCAAGTTATAAGAAATGCAATTTAACGTCAAATTTTTACTTTACTGCATCAGAATAATTCACCGTTTCCCGTTGTGCGAACATTCTGTAGGAAAAAAAAAAAGTTGGAACTTTCCTACCGTGATACGTTATATCCTAAAAAAGCCGAAATGAACGAAGACATCTCACACAGTCATGGTGCTAAGCCTTTGACTCATTGCATCACACGAAGGAATCCGTCTACACATCTAAAGTTTCTAACTTATTCCAACACCGATTGAAACTACATATTTAAAATAACAAAACAGTGTCCCTAACACTGGACAGAGGCGTACCTTAGCGCCGTTAAGGGCGTATCTAGAGTTATAAGCAGGCATTCTTTTCCATTCTTTATCGTCCACTGTCACCTTTCGCCCATCTACTCTCATCACTTAGAGGCTGCTAGAATCCTACTCCCAGCTGGCGCTCGACACAGCTCTCGGTGAGTGTACGCCAGTCGCTCTACACTCGCGCCCTGCCGGATTCCAAGCTCAACCAGGCAGACTACCGGGCGGTTTTCCCCCGGCCTTTACCGTCGTGCCAGAAGCTGATATAAGGTGAGGGCAGGGCTGCCGACATTTGTAAAGAAATAGTGCCAATGCGTAAGAGTGTGTGTGTGTGTGCGTGCGTGCGTGTGTGTGCATGCGTGCGTGCGCGCGCGCGTGTGTGTGTGTGAGTGAAAGTACACAATATAAATCCAGAAGGAATCACATGAAAAATTTTTATATCATGAAACGCTCAAACATCTTTAAAAAAAAAACACACACACAGTCGCTATATTTATAGAACCGACTTATATTACCTTACATTTGATAAAAATTGAAATTCTTTGTCCAGTGTTGCACCATTTTTTTCCGCCCAGTTTGTTACTAAGCTGTTTTGGTGGTTTCCAGTTAGTGCAGTTAATGTCTCGGAGCAATTACTCTCATGTCATCAATATAATTCTCGTTATGGTTTTCAAAGAAGAATGATTTGGATAAAAATCTCAAAACTGTTAGCAGAGAGAAAACAATTATGTTTGTAGCTGCAGAGGAATGTGGTAATGCCAAAAGACTAAGCATACATTTTGATACTGGAAGGCGATTCTCATATTCACATTTTCCTTCTGAAATTGCAAGACGAAACTTGTCTGATATTTTTGTCTTTTCCGCATTAGATGATTTTCTTGCACTATTGCGTCTCCCACAGCAATTCTTTATTTATTTATAGACATTCTTCTTCAACAAGGCTGAGAAATTTCGTCACCAGTAGCACAACTGGCGTCGGTGTCCCTTCAATGACACTGACTCCAGCTAACAATCCCAAGATTTAAAACACTGACGCACAATTTATAAAATGTATCAAAATGTCGGACGCAGTAACAAAACACACACACACATAAAAAGTTTTGTTCCGCGAGTGTCAACAGTACCAGATTTGTACCAACTTCGGCAGCCGTGGGCGAGGGTTGCAGTAAATGAAACAGTTACCTAGCACACGATTTGTGCTGTCTAGTACTGTGTGTCTCTGTAACACGGATGAGGTCAGGAGCGAGCACACATACTGCAGCACAACACACTATAGGTATGAAGTGGTGGCCAATGTGTGAACAGGAGAGAAGCTGAGATACGATGCTTCAGTGCATGGAGAAAAAATCGTCACGTTTAACCAGCATCTCCGAAGGGGGGAGCTTTAGGTTATAATTGTGACTGGGTTAAGTGTGCCATAAAAAATGGCTTAGCACTGCACACCACCAAAAGCCATGAAAAGACTCCTGCAGTGTTGATGCGACCCAATAACTTTTTTTTTTTCACAACGGTTGCACCGGATTTATAGGAACTGCTCCTGTTGGGTTCACATCCGAAAAGTGGCTCGTTGAGCCTTTCAGGGAGCAATCCAGCATTAAAAAAAAAAAATCCAGCTTCATTGCTGATTCGAACACCTCATCACAAGCTAAGTCGCCACTGCCCTGACCAGTTTATAGTGTTCAGAGATGTCTCTTTAATCGCAGCCCGCTGGAAACATTATCAATCAAACGCCAGTTCCCCTGTCACAAGTATTTTCATGTGCGAGGCATCTCCGATGTCTTGTGTCAGCCTTCTTGCTGGGAAACACATGTATCTCATTGTAGAAACAATTGTCTTCCAGTTGTGTGTTTTCCAAGCCAGTATGACGACTATGTATCGCTAAGTATTTCAATTGGAATAGACAAGAAAAAGGTCTGGACAACCACTTGCTTTCAGAGTTAAAAAACAAGAAGATGACAATATATTGAACCTATCGTGAGGAGAAGTGGACAGGAAATTACTTAACAAGCACTGAAATGGGAAACAAGTAGATCGAAGAGACCACAACATCCAAGAGAAACCCTGAGACGAACGGTGCTGTTTGTTTGTTTGTTTGTTTTAGTATCCAGAAGCCATGAGTTATTAACCCTTAGGCTCGGTATTATGGATATCGCAACCTTTCGGCCTTGATTCCATTTTCAAATACCGTAAATCTGGGAGAAAATGTGGCTTTTCTGCCCACCCCCGGGAGTGAACCCGGACCACAAGGAGTTCGTCACCCGCTTACCGAGCCCAAGTGATGTTAAACGGCACAAGGGGGTGACAATGTTGATGATTTCAGTTTCCGAAAGATGCTGGTATCAACGAGTAACTTCCCTCAATGAAGATCTTTTTATTGTTATTATTATTGTTATTCTTGGTCCCCGGTACTAAAATAATTTATGTGTAAAACTTGAGCTCAACAACTAGAAAAAAAAAAAAAAAAGTAAAGAAGTCTTTAGAGAAACTGACGCCGGAAACTAACTGATTGTCCTCATTAGAATGAGACAGTCTTTGCTCATGTGATGCGAAGGAGATAAGTAGGGTAGATCGTGACGATGGGAAATTTGGAGGGGAAAAGAGGCAGAGGGAAACCCAGAGGACGTCCTCCTTTTCTCAGACCGTTTGTTTTCCATTTTATTGCTTGTTTTGTAGTTCTCTGCTCATTCCATCTGAGTTTGCCCAATATATCTCCATCTTCTTTGTCTTATTGCAGTCGATACAAGCAGTTTTATATCCAGACTTAAACTCTTGAATCTTAGAATGGTACGGTGATAATGAGAGCGGCGGCTAAAATAGAGGATAAGGCATAGCAGAATTTCAAGCTTCGTAGTTTTATGTGTGCTTCCGACAGCGCTTTGCTAATGCAGTTTCCACATACTGGGGGTAGTCTACGGTTTGGCTGCCTGAGCTACTGAATGTATTGCTTGGTGCAGCCCTGTGAGCTGCATTTTTTCACGTGGAATGCCCTTCATCTGTGCAGCGGTTGTGTCATGGTATTCAGTATGACCGGTAGACAGTTTACGTGTGAGCTGGTGAAATACCTTATGTTATAATTCTACGTGTGTATAGCAGCCAACCTGTCGTTCCCGACTGCTTCCATTAACAATACATTGCATTTCTGGTGGCGATTGTTGGCTTTGGCACCTCTGGCAACTGAAATTTGTATTCACTGATGATGTTAATATTCCTTCAATGTTAATTACGGTTTTTAATTGACATCACTTACTTCAAGTTCAGAAAAAAAAAAAAAAAAAAAAAAGATTTTCATTTTTACTATTTTTCGAAGTAACAGTATTAGGTCTTCTAATTTCGTAACATTATTTGACAGAAAAACTGTTGTAACTGTTTTTTTTTTTTTTTGCGTTCGCCATCAGAAAGGCCGGTTGGCATTTAGTGTTTTGGTTTAAGCTAGGTTGTGATATTCTTCGGCCCCATAATCCGATTTCAGTAAATCCTTATTTACTCGTCTGTTACGACATGATTGTTTGGGATAATGCTGATCACTCCCCCCCCCCCCACCCCTTTCCACTCCCACTCCCATTTCAGACACGGCCCCTGAAGCCACACATATAACTGTACATCTAAGTTCTGGAGTTAACATTTTTACCTACTGCTAAATGTCCTACCTGTTTTATTCTTTAGATTTGTAATTATATATACTTCGTATGTGAATAGCACCGTTTGGGAAAAGGGGGGGGGGGAATGTACTCCCTTGTTTAAATAAAATATAACTGAAAAAGACCGTTCCCACAAAAGGTGAATAAATCGTTTATTCGATCAAAACCACGGTTTTTGATTTGTATTTCATAATTCTCTCTGTAATTCTATGCTGGCAAACTAGTAAAGGAAATTAGGAGACGAAGAAGTAGTAGTTGTGGTGGTGGTAGTGGTGGTGGTAGTAATAGTAGTAGTAGTAATAGTAGTAGTAGTAGTAGTAGTAGTAGTAGTAGTAGTAGTAGTAGTAGTAGTAGTAGTAGTAGTAGTAGTAGTAGTAGTGGTAGTAGTAGTAGTAGTGGTATAAATGGGAAAAGAAGAAGAAGAAAGGAAGAAGAAGCAGCATCAGCAGCAGCAGCAGCAGCAGCAGAAGAAGAAGAAGAAGAAGAAGAAGAAGAAGAAGAAGAAGAAGAAGAAGAGGAGGGGAGAATAAAAACATCAACAATATCCCCACTACCAACACCACTAGCACCTTTTCTCTGCCAATCGAAACCTTATATATTTACAAACAAGACTGCAGTTGCCAGCTGCAGACATTCAAAACCTGTTTACACACATAACGACTGTGAAATGAGTAACCCCGTGTGTTAGATTCGCCCTTATATCTTGGAACGCCTGTACTACCTGGCTTGCCAGCTTAGAAAGGGGCGGACAGAATCGAGTAACAAGCACCATTTGGTTAAGCATCTCTTCTTAAGATCATTCAAAATGATGTGCCAGATTTATATACATGTTTAGAGTATTTAGTTCTGTTGTAATGAGGCGAAGGATTTCGATTTTGTGTGTGTGTGTGGGTAATATAAACTAAATAAATCTATTAGGCTTTTTGAATGAAGATCTTGTAGCAGTTCAAGCCTTCGTATACGAAAGAGAGAGAGAGAGAGAGAGAGAGAGAGAGAGAGAGAGAGAGAGAGAGAGAGAGAGAGTATTAGAGAGAGAGAGAGAGGAAGAAGGGGAGAGAGAGAGTGAGAGTGAGAGTGCCACCTGCTAACAAAGTCCAACATGTGCCCGGTAAACCAAACGTAAACTTGCCACTTGGTCGCCCAGGTATGCAGACTGCTTTATTATGCTACCGCAACGACTTCGTATCTCACAGTACCTTTTGCAAAGTCACCAATTCGTCTTGTCCCTGTCCGATAACATCCGGTAATTTCGTACAGCAGGAGAAACCCACCCTGAGCCTCGTGAACTCTGGTGGGTCCACTCTCTGAAAATGTCTAGGAGCTCGTGGGCCGAAACATTTGTCGACGAGAGGATACTTCTACTGACGATTGGTAGACTCCCGATGTACATGCTCCCCTGTGGAGTTTCTTCTTACCTATAGATCTTGAGATATATTGTCACCAATACACAACAAATGTTTACAT